GGTAGTGCACTGGGCTATCCCAGACCAGCAGACTCTCCTAGTAAGGCACTTCTAAAATACAATCTTTTGAAATGTGTTTTGATTTAGCTTTCTTATTATATTATAGTAGTTCAATTTACTTAAAGGGTCTACTCCTGCTTCCATTGTAGTCAAAGGAAAATCGCCATTACTTTGACCGTAGATAACATAATAAGAGTATGATGCACTGTAGGTTTTGAGGTTTAATAAATCTAAGTAGAAAATTGATTATTCATTAAGTGACCTGATAGATATAATAGTTTGTATTCAGAAAATGCTCTTTGAGAATTCTGATCAATTTGCTTTTTTGATCAGACTTCAGTGATATGTAACATGAATTCTTGTTGTTTTCATTGATGTCTTACTAGAGAAATTTTATTTTGCATTTCAATAGACTAAAAAAGCCTTAAAGAACATCCTTCAGAAATGCACGTATCTTCCAGCACTTGAACCATTGCTGCATGATGCCCCTCCCAATATTATGAAACATATTGTTGGGCAGTTTAGTAAGGTAAGAAAAGGCTCTGCTTGATGAGTAATATGCTAATTGTTTTCCATTTAGCAAGGAAGCTATCTTACCAAAGATGAAGTCTCAAGGGCTCAGTTGTTTTCTGAGGATCCTCAAGCATCCCCTGCAGAAGCAGTTTGGAGCATCCCGTTCTTTTGTCTGATAAAGCTGGATACTGTTTCATCTGGAACCTGACATAATTCATCCTAAGACTGGGAAAACAGTTGCTTATAAGCGAGGTGTTTTTTTCTTCCTTGCCTCTTGAGATTAATGGAATATTAACTTGTGCAAATATTTTCACTGAGCCAATGTATCACATAAATCCCAGTCACATCTGTTTTAGATAAAGTACAAGCTGTCTGTACAGGAGTGACTTAAGTCCGATATTTTACAATAATTTGGAGTATAAAAGCTTCACCACTTTTATCCTCATTAATTTTCAGTCTCAATTAAGTAAGTGTAAAAATCCCAAATCTTTTCTCATTCCTCTCAAAATTTGAAACTGTTTGTTGTTAATCACATTGTTGATTTGAGTGCAGCACGTAGAAAGTTTTACAATTAAATTATAATTTAATAAAAACATTTCAAATTATTGAAGTAATTGCTAACTAATCAGGAGATTTCCAGTGTCTGCAATGTTCACCAGCTGTTGGAATCCTGCTCAACTATAGTCTATCTTTTGTGCAGTACTCTGCAGCGTAATCTGTTAGCAGGGGGTACCAGGCTCTCCTGGTGGGATGTGCTTTCTGGAAGTGGCCAAGTAAAACACTCTTGATATTCAGTTCTGATTATCACAGATCTGGAAGCACCACTGTTTGCAGCGCGGGTTCCTTATTACATTGCCACACTTAGGTTTGTCCTGTCTTCTTGCTAAGTCTGTGCATAGATTGGAGATTTACTCAGAATCCAGTGCCTTTTGCTTCTGTGTGCTGACTGGAGCTATTAATGAGCTGAGTGCATAGTAATTGGTTACCCGGTGTATAGATTTGAACATTGTTTGCTGTTGAAGTGGTTTTGTACCCTTCATATCAGCTGATGTTTTGTTGTGTTTCATTTTTCTTCTTCTACATTGTATTAAACAAAACTATACTTGTCTGGCAGTTGCACTTCTGAAGCATACATTTAAAACTAAGTTCTCTGCAGTAAAAGCATTTTTCTCTCCTGTACCATAGCTTGGGAATTTCTTATTCTTAGAGCTGTGGTGTATTACTTCTGTTGGCTTATTTATAGCACAGTAAAAGCCTTATTTCTGAGCTGTGCTTCGGAGTGAGATGCTACCCATTCTTTGTGCTGGACTGTGTCATTTCAGCATTATCCTTTTCAGGGTCTGTGCAATTCTGTGCTGTCTCAGTTTGGACTGGGGGAAAGGATTGTGTCTCAGAGGTGCTGTCTGTCTTTAGGGCCTCTTCCCAGAGAGTTTTCTGCTGTCTTACTCAGCCTGGGAGTCACAGTGGGGAAGAGGCAGGCAGGGAAAGGGCCGTATCTTGTCTCCTTGCGAGTTCCTTCTTGGCAGTTCTTGTCGCAGGAGGTGCGTGAAACAGCCATCTCTTCAGTTCCCACAGCAAAATGATCACAGTTGTTCCTGACACTTCTGTGGAGCATATAATAGGGAGAAGCCTCTCTGCTTCCCTCTTCTTTCTTTACCTGTCTGTTGATTTTGTACAGCCTAGAGGGACCAGAGAAATGAAGCCTGTTTGCCTATATGCATGGCAGAAATCTCATCCTTCTTTTCCTTCATCCTTTTAGGCAATCCCTTCCTCCTTCAAGGCTCTCGTTTTACACTGAGATACAGTCAAATCTGTGGCTTGATTTGTCTGACCAGTGTGAAGGCTTACAAAATGCTTTTGCCTCCATAGTATGTAACTCTCAGAGTTGGTTTTAAACCCATCATTCTTTCTCCGACAATATCGTGCCTTTTTTTTTAATATTTTTTGCAGCCCTGTGGGCCTATGGACTACATGCTGTCATTCTCCCTTGCCTGGCCCAGCCCCCACCTCCCTCCCTGCCTCCTTCCCTCCCTCCCATCCTCTGGACAGAGCTGCACATTGGCATCACTCAGGGAGCACAGAATGTATTGTCTGATCATTTCTGCTTCTCATCCCCTTTGGCTGCAGAAACTTCACATTTTTGCTTTGTGTGCTTGTGTGTGTGTGTTTCTAAAAGGCTTCCATGGCTACACAGTGTGTTGTAGGGTTTTAATATCTAGGAATGTAATAGTAGCATGTAATGCTTCAAGGCTGCATTGTTCACTTGCAACAATTCTCAGTATTGTTTTCATGCACTAATCTATACTAGATCATTATAATGATATAAAATTCTGCTCTACAATTAAACTGTGGGAATTGACATAAAAGACCTGAATAACTTGGTTTAAGTGGAACAGATGCTGTTGTTATTCCATGCTAGTGTTCTGGTTTTATTATCTATTTAATCTCTGCAATCATATTGTCTCTGTAGGAATAATTCAAGAAATATTATTTACATAAAGATAAATACTTAATTCAGTATTTTTATATATGTTATGTATTAAAGTACATGTTAAATTATGTTATAACCATAAAGGTCTGGTTTATGATTTTTTTCCCTGTACAATTGGGTGTTAAAATACAGTAGTCATTACAGATGTTGTACCTCTGATGTGTTCCATTTTATCCGTCCTCTGAATTGAAAACAGATAAGCAATATTTGAGCCTGGTAGCATAGAGATTCCTTTAGAAGAAAATGTTCTTTTTTTTTTAATGTACTTTTCTGTGTGTAGGTGTTACCACATGACAGTAAAGCACGTCGTCTCTTTGTAACAACTGGTGGACTTAAAAAGGTTCAAGAAATAAAAGCAGAACCTGGGTCACTTCTTCAGGAATATATCAACACTATTAACAATTGCTACCCAGAGGAAATAGTAAGGTAAGGAAAATTAAATTAAAAAAATTCATACTTATTACATTGTTAGGTGTTTTTCACAGGAACAACACAAAGCAAGGATTTAAAATATTAATTTAACTTCTACATGATTTTTGTTTTTAATAAAACAGCATAACATTTGGTTAACTGCCCCAGTGGTAACACAACCATTAGACACATACTTTTGAACACTTTCTCTTTTCTGATTATTTTTGGGATCAGATTTCTTTGTCTGTAAACAAAGGCCAAATAATCAGGCTCTTGCAGGCAACTGGGGCGAAAAGCCAGCCCTGCACTACCCAGACAAACTCTGAGACTTCAGCACAACTGCTGTCATATTAATGAATGTCTGTGGGAAGTTTAGTTCATCTTGGTCACTTATTTATGGGTTACTCAGGCTCCAAACTACAGGTATTGGTGAATCTTCGCTTGCATCCTTGACTTCCCTAAGAGCCTGTCTGATAGCTTATTCAGAGGCTCCTTTGAAACTTCCTCTGATGTGCAGAGGGTCCAGAGGCTCTCCTGCACAGTTGCTCTGCCCACAGCTGCCCTTCCTCCCCCAGCCTCATCATGAGGCTTAAGTGTTATATAAAAGGACCATACACCAGCTGTCTGCACCAAGTTGAACTTTGCCCTTAATGAATACAGAAACACTATTAAATAGCTTACAGTCAAAATGTCACCATCCTAAATTGTAATAATGAGAGAAATGCCCTCCTAGATTCTAGATATCCATTTACCAGTCCTTCACTCCATCAACACATCAAAAGGATGCTGTACTCATGCACTCCCTCTACAGGCTCTGAAAATCTGCATCATCAATTTTAATTATAGCAACAGAGTTCTCCAGCTAATAGTAGCTGCAAACTAAGTCACGCAAAATGAAGCCCTGTTTGTCTCCACAAGGAAAAGCCAGTGGCTGTCAAATGGGTAAAGCAAAATCATAAAGAAACTTTATTCTGCAGCTGTTTGCTTACACTTTTCTGGATGTAATTAATGTTTCTTTGTTACAGCTATTTTTTTCCCTGTAAATGAAACAAGGTTACTTATGTAGGCTGGGATGTAATAAAGAAAAGGGCCCCTTCGAGCATCTCCAGCTTGCCTCTTTGTGCTACTGCCTGATGCTGGTTGTGCTGCCTGAGGCACAGCTGCTATAATAGACTCCAGCTCTGGGTTTGTCCTGGAGACCTGTTATTTTAGGCTGTTTGCAGGCTGAATATAATAATGCATTGAAAAGTTAGCTTTACAATCAGAGAACTAATATGCTTTTTAAGAAGAGTTACATTATGCAGAAATTGTCCAGAAAATGAAAATGAACAAGGTAAATGGATCTTCCTTCAGTGTGAAAACATTGGGGATTTCTACTTGAATACATTTTAGGCATGCATTACATAGAAATGTGTTCTTCTCTCTTTATAGTTAAAGCTTCCAGGGCTCAGAGATGACAATTTACATGCCTGCAAAACCAGCAATGTACTGAGGTGTATGTTTTTAGAATAACACAGTCATAAATCTCATACTCTTAACCTGGCAAACAAGAACTAAATGCAGCTTTGGTGATGCTTGCATATTGGAAGCATGTAGTTGGTCCATTGTGGAAAACCAACTGAATGACAGCAGGACAATAATGGCACCGTAGAGTCCTACTCTAATGAAAACCTATTGGATAATCTCCGTCCTTGAGTTGGCATTAGAGACAGAAGGTCATTGTGATAAATTTTTTTGTTCCAGAATCAATGTCTCTCGCATTGATGTAGACTTCACATTAGCTTTGGGGTGTGTGCTTATGTTTGACGAACAGCAGTAGACTATTGTCATCTGGCAGCCTATGGTTCTGTGTAAACTCATGCTTTTTTATTAAAGGCCATAATTTCAAAAGAAGTTAAAATCTACATTTCTCAGTAAAGACAATGCTTATGGCTGGGGGGACTCTCTAAAAAAAAAACACTTCA